ACTATAATTTACCACACTGTAATTTATCATTATTTAATATATAACATACGTTCATTAACAATGAAATATTTTACTAAAATTTACCACATCATAATTTACCACTTTGCATTATATAACAAACGTTCATTAATCATGACATATTTTACTATAATTTACCACATTTTAATTTATCATTATGTAAAATATTATATGCGTTCATTAATCATGACATATTTTATCATACATTTATCCTTCGTAAATTGCCACTATGTAATATATAACATACGTTTATTAATCATGACATATTTTATCATAAATTTATCCTTCGTAAATTGCCACTATGTAATATATAACATACGTTTATTAATCATGACATATTTTAATATAATTTGTCCTTCGTAAATTGCCACTATGTAATATATAATATTCGTTTATTAATCATGGCATGTTTTACTTCTATATTTTCTAAACCTTCTCTGAATTGCGAAATATGGCATCTGTGAACTTATACTCGCTTTTACAGATTTTATATTACCGTGATTTCATGTGTTAGATATACTCATCGTATAACAATCATTTCTGCTATGACCACTTGTTTGAGTCTCTTTTTTAGACTTCTGATAAGGGAAAGACGTTTTCTCAGATTTTTGAAATAAGGGTTGCCCATTTAAAATATCTTTTATTAATTTTATTTGCACATCAGTTAAGTGTTAAGGAATGTTCTCATTCCATCTGCTAAAGGCATGCTCAATGCATCTTTTTCATTTTCCAATTTCAATTTATATTTAAATTACCTATATTTAATTTACCTATGTTTAATTTCATTAATTTATCAATGCATTTTCTTGTAAATGTACATGATGAACATCAGTAAATTATACATATGAATATAAAATCGCTGTTACGTCATCAAGGAAGTGTAACCACATGTTTCTTGATACACTATCGCTTCCAGATATTTATAGAACTTATAGAACCTTCTGAAGGAAGTCTGATGTATGTGTTAAATTATGATTTTAATGCAAAATTTAATTCTTGAATATTTGCGTAATAGAAATGAAATAGTAAAAGTTTGCGACAGAACTTTTTCTCGAAAACACTTCTCAATTCTATAGCCTTTTGTTGTGATATTTCAAACAAAGGATACACATGTGTCATTAAATCAACATAGTAAGAATATCATGTTTTTCTCATAATATTTATTCAGACACGATCATTGCCTTCACGATGTTGTTTTTTCTACTATGTATTATATATTATAACTTACACAAATAGAAATATCAGTAAACTTAAAAAACCAAAGGTTGGTATTATTGTAATATTGTTTAATACTGTAGAATAAACAACATATATGATATCAACAAATAGTATTAACCTTGCTGTCTTATATCGATGACCCAAACAGTACATTATGAATATTTCCTAACGTCTGAGTTTTTTTTTTTTGTTTTTTTTGTTTTTTTTTTTTTTTTGTTTTTTTATGCGCGGAGTCCATGTTGATTTCATATGAATGATGATTAATTTGTACATTACATTTCTAAGAAGAAAAAATCCTAATTGTTCCGGGTAAATTAAATATGAATATTAATCAGATTTTGATTCCAAGTTATTTTCGAACTTAGCTATCTTTGATATTTCTGTAATGTCAGATTTGGAAGGATATTTGATTGATTGGTAGTAATGTTTGTGGCAGAATTTCTCTGTTTTATTTTTTGAACAACCAAACATTTTATATACTCAGTCCATGTTTTTATTCAAAATGACGAATTATCAAAATGATATTAGTACATCATTAATATGATGAAACTGGAATACAATCAGTTATCATAACTTATACCTATTTGTAGTTTTCATCCGCGACACAACTGGTCGGTAACATAAAGCAATGTCTTTATATTACGTACACAAATACTGTTACGTATGACTGACATTCCCATGTTCAGCAAAAACAATTGTATTGAAATTATGATTTCATTTTAATAGTCATATTTAACCTCTATTTTTAACTACAATTAATCAATACAGGGAAGTTGATTGATTAATAGGCTTTAAAACGTAAAACGTTGTATAAATTATCTATATCTACGACATCTCGAATAGGAACACGCTGTCTAAATCAAAAGATTTGAGGAAATGTTTGTTTCTTTTATATCAATATCGTTAACCATTTAATCACGTGATATTCCTTGAAATAATATTGATTTGAATGTTCTCAATATAACACTTCAGAATAACATAAATGCAAAACGTACAAGAAATATATGTTTGAAGGTTCCTAAACCCATGGTAAAAGCTATTTTAACAGTGAATTCGGTATATTAATATATTCACCGACCAAAAATGAACATAACTGGGACGTTCTAATAATAATCATTATTATTCAAAGAACGGAATATAAACTTGTGTGGATTTGATCGTGATGTGACCTCACGCTGTAGATCCCTAGATTTAAATTTAAATTAACAAAGCAAAAAAATGATATCTAAATCATGTTACTTTTCATCCTTATAGGACTTGTCAAAGGTGTTGAGACCTACCTGAAGGAGGCGAATGAGAAAAATGAAAAAAAAAAAAAAAAAAAACACAAACAAACAAACAAAATAGTCGAAATCAACGTCAAAAATCAAGTAGGGAGGGGAACTGTCCCCGAATTTCAATAAATTTGATAGATTAAAAAATTGGATAATTTCAAAAGATTTTAAAGTAAATATGTATTTTCAGAACCATGTCACTCTTCAAATGAATTCCAATTCGCAGGTAGGTTTAATTAAACCTGTTATATTTTTTAACAATCAACAATATTTGACATAAATCACAGAAGAAGCTTAATGCATTAAATAATAGTATAACATAAGTCACTGATCTACCAAATATCTTAACACGTGTATGTAGCTATAGCACTGACCACAAGTACTTTGTACTGTGCAACATAGATCTAGATTTTCACCGTCTCCACTAAGTAATTGAGTAGATAATTCTTCAAAATCATTGATAAACAACGTGTATTTATAAACTGTTTATATCAATAAGTCTGGAGAGCCTCTAAACACGTGAAAGCACCATTTTAAGACAGCTGTTGATTTTTGTTTTTAAGTGTAATAAAATAAGTCTCTGGTCTATCATTTTACTTAGCATGTGTATATAATCATATATCTATATACTGCATACTGTTATTATTGTGTTTACCAAGCAAACAAAAAAACAACGGTGAACACCTATCCATGTGAAAGGCGAAACAACAATTTTGTTGGTAGACATGTTTTCTTATATATAATTTTTTCTAAAAGCATTGGTGTGTAAATCAATATACATATATTTAGTTCCACTTGATCGTGCATACGTTCGTTTACAACACAGTTTGATACCTGTTATGGTTTATAACTGTTAAGTTTTTTATCATCGTAATAAAATATGATTTTATATGTGAAGTTTTCGTATTTCCAGCACGTATTTATACTTTATTTTTTAAGTATTTCTTCCATATATTGAAACAAAACTCATGTTTATCTATATTTCAGAATATTCTTTCGTAAATATGATAATGTTACGTTCTTATTATTTTTTACAATTGCTTTGAACAAAAAAAAAAAAAAATGAATTAGTGAAAATTATGTATGGTGACACATTTATGAATTAACTATTAACTGGTGTAAAATTTCAACATTAAAATACATTTTGTGTTGGTACTCCGTATGTAGGATAAAAAAATATATATATAGAAAACCAGATTTCTATTGAACCCTGGTATAATATCCAAGGTAAAATATGTACTTCGTACCTTCCTCTTATGCAAATTTCATTATTTTTCATCACAAAATCTATTTAATAATATTCTGAACTATCTATGCTGTTACTAGAAGCAAAGGGAAGTGATAAACGTGTTATAACAGCACAATAGATTAGAGGAGACACGAATGGAATTTGGTTCATAGTTACCTATAAAATTTAAATGATATTGAAAAGGGAAATTTATAAATGTATTGTTTAGCTCGGTAAACAATTTTAAATGGTCCTTTTAATGTACAGATATAAGGTAAATATACCTGTTTCTAGTGAGTGTGTTATGTGCCCATTGGCAACAACAGCATCAAAGCAGTTTAGATAATTTCGACATTATTTCATGTGCCATCAAATGGAAATTACTTATGCAACGTACATCTACATAAGTAAGAAAGGAAATCAATTATAGGGAAATGTACATTAACATAAGTACATTTATGTTTATGTGTAACTCGGTGTCGATCGCCCTACAAACGGGATTCGAGCAAATTTTATAAACAATCGACACTACACTAAGCAAGCTCCGTTAAGATCAAACATGTAATTTTAATTCGGAATATATGGTGAATGTTGAAAAGGATATATTGATAAACATATAATACAGCCCCACAAAACACAAATATTATCATCATTTACAGAATAGGATTGCTTACTTTCAATACAAATTATAATACATGTTTTCGATAAAACGAAAATATCCTTTGAAATGTGAATGACTAGAATTAATTATGTTACTATCTCTGTCAATATTAACATAATGCAATGACACGAGCTTTAGGAAGCCCTAGAAATCATACCAGGCATATAATTAATCCGTATTGTGGTTATATACCCGGGGTAGAGAGAAGATACAGGTATATTTGATAGAAAAGTCTGAAATGATGAAAAACCACAAACGCCTGCCATAACTCGACCTACAGACCTGTGGTCTAGATATTGGGTAATCGTACCACAATGTCCGCCCTACAACAGCAAATAACGATATACGTTACGATAAACTACCCACCATTCTGCAACATATACGACAATTTAGTTCCAACATAGTGTGAAGAACAAGGTTGTGTAGTATCAAACGCACCCCTGCAGTTAAACTGGAGAGAATCTCACCTCACTTCCCACACACACACAAACACACATGTAAAACACACGACATAACGACACCTCAGACAGTCTAGTTATCATTACGTAATCATTCCTGCACTTCAATTAACATACATAGCCGTTGAGTTGGCTGTATACCTGAAATAGTGCTGGAGTCCTCTTGTATCTGCACTCTGCAGGTCAGGTCCACCAGACTTTGTCATGGCTCGCCATCCGTAGAGGTGAGTAGGTAGACGAATTATTCCTAAAAACATTTCTAATTTTGCATAAATTAAGCTTTTCCTAATTTCAAAATCGAACCATCATATGATGTAAGTGTCCATTTTAATGGCATATTTTGGTCGCCGTTATATGTTTCGGTTTCAGAATTTATTTGTATTCGAAAAAGTAGATGGGAGGTCTTTCGTAGGGATCGTTAGAAACACGGGGATGTCAGATTGTACCTCTTTCAAATTTCTTATAAATCAGACGACGTTAAAGCAGCTGTAGATTTATATAACTTTAGTATCACTAAACCCAAAAAGTTTATACCCATAGAATATATCTGTGAAAGGTATCATATCGAAGCAGGGATCTAAATATGCGATATGTTATTGGCATTGCCTAATGTAATCAGTGACAGACGCGTTCCCCTTAATGGGCCCTTCACAACATGCACAAAGGCTATGAGCGTGGAGTTTCCCTATGCATCTGTGCATTGTAAAGCAAACTGCATATCAAGTTACCATCTCAGTTGATAGTGTGTTTTGACTGATAAGACACGGTTAATGATTTGTATCTACATGTTCATGTCTGTCTGAGATGGTTACAGCACACACATTCATAACTTGTGATAAGTTACGTACACATTTAACAAACATTGTGTAGTAGATGTAAGACAAACCTAGGTTCCGTTAGTGTCAGGTTGGCCTTACTGACATGTTTTTTTCTGGCTTCAAAGGACTACTGTTCAAATGAAAGATATTTCAAAACGGTCCAATCATTTATAGAAACACTAGTAGGTTTAGCATCTTCAAATCATTTTCTTGTACATTCAATATATCTTTTTTAACATCAACATGGTTACAATATGGGATGTGTGATTACACACACCAAGGAGACATTCTTAATTTCCTGATATTTCAACGAATATGGCCGACTCATGTATATATTTTTTCGTCGCGTATTTCGTTGTTTGAACGTCTGTGCTTGTAAATTTATGTTTTTTTCTTGTCTGTCTGTTAATCGGTTCTTTGTCTGTCTGCTAGGCGTTCGTTATGAGACAATTTATTTTCCTAACCAACGACCAACTGAGCGATTTATTCCATATAAGGAAATGAAGAGTACAGTTGATCAAACAATTAATGCTTGTAGTTAATTACATGGATAACATACACATATATATGTCTACACTGAATAGGATGGTTTTTCACTGTAATAATGTTATGTGTATAACATTAAGCAAAATGCTGATATCGAAATATTTGAAAATGTATGCTTATTACCTTGATCATAATATTGAAGTGTTTAAAAAAATAATAAAACAAAGAAAAAAATTATATATTATCGCGGAGAAATTTATAATGTAGAATGTGTTCTGAAATAAGCTACAACGGCATCAAAAACGTTTAAAGAATTTCGTACGGAAATTTTCTCAAAATAATTAAAAACAAAAGTTTTTAAATCACTCTCTCAAGATAAATGGTACAACACACACATTCTATTAAGGTGCATTACTTTGCTTCCACCCAGCATAGATATTACTCTCCATGTAGAGCAAATGTTCTCAATGTTCATTCAGGCGTGAAGGGTGTTTAAAATATCCCAACCAGACGCTCATCGAAATTTCACCTTGAAGATTGCTTGACGTAACGACTGCCACTACGGCAGAGGTAAGGGGAGGTAACTCATATTCATTGCGCCGGCCTTTGATAACTTTGTCCAATATTATCTCTGTATTCTGGAAACGAAATCCAATATTCGATATCATACAGTCATGTTTAGTCGATGTTACTAAGTTGGTAGTAATGTCCCTTTGAAATGAAATGATATCTGGTATTTTAATCAAGTCGTTAAAAAAATGACGCGACGTGAAATGAATGTGTCAATTCACAATTATCAGATGATAAAGTGCAATACACGATATAAATATATGTAAATAATCAACGTCACGCTTCATGGCTCTCCCCGTATTCCTTAAATTATATAACGATTTGTACTTTTGCAGAAGATTAAATATAAATGACACTATAATTCGGTCGCTTTGATTAGAACTAGGTTCAATTTATTTCCAAAGGTAATCAATATTTAGGAATAAAAATGATCATTTTTTATAAAATCTGGGCTTGAATTGCCTGAGATAAATAATATATCAAAAATCATCTGACTGATTCAAATTGGAGATCACAAAGCTCCAGAAAACCGTTAGTAGGTATACTTATTAGTGTCGTGACACAGATATGTATCCTCAGAGACTAAAATTTATTACATTTATAATTACTTTGTGCAACGTTTTGTATATATACAAACATTCAAGTGGAACTGTGCTATTGATCGACCAAATTATCGATAAATATTCAAAATTCTAGAATTTATTACAAAATGGTATTCAATTCTGCATACTTTGATCACTAGCCTAAAATATCCACTTAAAGATATTAACTACAGCTGTGAGTGGGAGGGAAAGTTGCGAAAGAAGCGTCGGTTTACCAAAAAAACAAAGATGTCGATATTTCTCATGTTTTAACGAAACAAATGGGTTTTAAGGCCTTTTATTATCAAATTTCAGAAACATGTTACTGTAAAACCGTATTATGAAACCATCCTACTATTACAAATTGTTGAATACACATTGAAAGTTTTAACATACATATTATATTTAAAAGCTTTATACAAGACAAATGCAGAAACAATATGTCTTTTTTAAGATGAGGCAGTAAACTCTTTCCTTGGGATTTTTGTTTATATTCGTTTATTTTGTATCATAATCTTACTTAATGTCACATGTAACATAACAAACAGCATTTCTATATATTGTTCTAACTTAATATCAAATAAATTCATATACATGGGTGTATAAATGACATCTATGATATTTTCAGTAGAACACAGTGAAATATTAATTAAATACCTATACTCTTACATTTCACTTCATCGGATTCATCAAATATAGGAATGATAAAGAAAGTAACCACATGTCAATTTAATCTTAATTCAAACTCACACAACAATAAAACGAAAGAAGAAAACATGAAAAAGCCCACAGACTCAAGCAGACACATCTAACAACGAAACTACAGGTGTACTAACGAGCATCAGACGCATATAATAACGAAACATCAATGTATACTAACGAGCATCAGACACATCTAACAACGAAACCACAAGATGTACTAACGAACATCAGATACATCAAGGCATACTAACGAGCATCAGACACATCTAACCACGAAACATCAAGGTGAACTAACGAGCATCAGATACATCAAGGTATACTAACGAGCATCAGATACATCAAGGTATACTAACGAGCATCAGATACATCAAGGTATACTAACGAGCATCAGACATCTCTAACCACGAAACATCAAGGTATACTAACGAGCATCAGACACATCTAACCACGAAACATCAAGGTATACTAACGAGCATCAGACACATCTAACCACGAAACATCAAGGTATACTAACGAGCATCAGACACATCTAACAACGAAACATCAAGGTGTGTTAACGAGCATCAGACACATCTAACAACCAAACATCAAGGTGTGCTAACGAGCATCAGACACATCTAACAACCAAACATCAAGTATACTAACGAGCATCAGACACATCTAACAACGAAACATCAAGGTGTGTTAACGAGCATCAGACACATCTAACAACCAAACATCAAGGTGTGCTAACGAGCATCAGACACATCTAACAACCAAACATCAAGTATACTAACGAACATCAGACACATCTAACAACCAAACATCAAGGTGTGCTAACGAGCATCAGACACATCTAACAACGAAACATCAAGTATACTAACGAGCATCAGACACATCTAACAACCAAACATCAAGGTGTGCTAACGAGCATCAGACACATCTAACAACCAAACATCAAGTATACTAACGAGCATCAGACACATCTAACAACCAAACATCAAGGTGTGCTAACGAGCATCAGACACATCTAACAACGAAACATCAAGTATACTAACAAGCATCAGACACATCTAACAACGAAACCAACAAATATACCAACGACCATAAGACACATTGAATATAATCTTACTCACATTGAAATTATAACTTTTTTCAGGAAAAATACGTCTTTATATATAATATAGGTATGATTTTATGGTAATGCATATATACCTAGTCAGTATGACGTCAGACTTATATATATATACCTAGTCAGTATGACGTCAGACTTATATATCTATACCTAGTCAGTATGATGTCAGGGATATATATATATATATACCTAGTCAGTATGAAGTCAGGGATATATATACCTAGTCAGTATGACTTCATACCTATATATATACCTAGTCAGTATGACGTCAGTGCTTTATATATACCTAGTCAGTATGGCTTCATACCTAGTCAGTATGACGTCAGGGCTATATATATACCTAGTCAATATGACGTCAGGGCTATATATATACCTAATCAGTATGATGTCAGACCAATATATATATACCTAGTCAGTATGACGTCAGACTTATATATAGATACCTAGTCAGTATGACGTCAGGGATATATATACCTAGTCAGTATGACGTCATTCCTATATATATATATATACCTAGTCAGTATGATGTCAGACCAATATATATATATATACCTAGTCAGTATGACGTCAGACCTATGTATATATACCTAGTCAGTATGACGTCAGGGATATATATACCTAGTCAGTATGACGTCAGGGTTATATATAAATACCTAGTCAGTATGACGTCAGACCTATGTATATATACCTAGTCAGTATGACGTCAGACCTATGTATATATACCTAGTCAGTATGACGTCAGGGATATATATACCTAGTCAGTATGACGTCAGACTTATATATGTATACCTAGTCAGTATGACGTCAGACTTATATATGTATACCTAGTCAGTATGACTTCAGGGTTAGATATATGTATACCTAGTCAGTATGACTTCAGGGCTATTACCTCTTTATCCAATTTTTTCACTAAATGAAGATAGATTTCGTTGTTGATATTTCAATAGGTAAAT